AATTCCATAGGAAATACATTTGCATACTTGCATACTACGTGCGGAAGTTCTATTTATCCTTGGCCTTCCTCATTTATAATCAGACTTGTTATCATACCCGCAAGTTGATCGCACCACTGTGTCCTACCTTTCGTTGAAGCCGTGGGGTCTTGTCTATCCCCCTTAAACTGAAAACATGCTCCGTTGGATGGGTAAGTCATCTCCTTCTTCTGGTAACTATCGATAATTGTTAAGGTATGAGTAACAAATCTATTTTTAAGATGAGGTCAGAGTAGGGTATCTTCATGAAGTTGAGTTTCCTTCCACAAGCTCCAAATCCCCTTGGATCCTACCTCCTTCCACAAAGATGGTGAGACTCCTCCAAAATTTGATTCTTGATATGGTTCGGGATTTTAGCCACGATTACTAGTCCATTCTTAAGGTTTCGATTTCCTGGTACTGCATTTCTATTGTTGCTTGAAAGCTCATGTTATTACTTGTCTCGAAGTAGGGTCCACCATTTGTTTTTCTTTGAGTGGGGGTGAGGCGTAAGTCAAAAATTACAGAGGCAATTCCTTATGGGTAAGCTACTAATTTTGGAGTTTAATTATCCTAGGGTGTTCACATAGCACAACTTCATAATAATAATTACGAGATTCCTAAAATTGGATTGAAGTGGAGACGAAGAATACGAAGTAGTTATGGTGATAACATCAGGATCAACTGAAATATGGATGAACGGTATGATGTTATGGTTTCGAACTTCAATGTGATCAAGGTTATAGATGTAGTGAATAAACTAGATATTTAACTTGAAACTGCGTTGGCCATCCGCGTTTCAAACTGAATATCCAAGATTCATCACCGAGTAAAGAAAATGAAATTATTTACAAGAAGTCTTGGGCTAAATAATCAAGGGTCAAAGGAGGTTGAATTTACAAATAGTAGTATATAAAACAGGACGAGATGGACAAGACTTAATCTTGGAAAATGATGAAATTGAATAAAGGTTATGAATACAAGATGAGGGTATGACAATCGATAGAAGACGCGTAGACCTAATAGTATCCCCTACTGCGCGATGTGAGGCCTTACTCAAAGTTAAAACCATTTTACGATTCTGAAGTAGGTCTTCATGAGTTGATGTTGGTGTGCCTGAAATTCGAAGAAATTCCCTAACATAGGTCAAGAAAGATTCTAACATAGTCAGGGCAAGGTAGTCTCTAACAGCAGGTCGAAACGCATGGGTAAGGGTTGAACCTATGCTCTGATACCAAGTTGTGATGCCCCGATTCTACACCATTGGTTGCAGTCAAAGGAGAGTCACTAATGAGTCCTATGGTCAATAACCAAGTCAGATTAGCCTCCCTTCTAAGTCCAGCTTTCTTAGGCAGCGCACTACCCTTTTGACAGATCTTAAAAGGTATTGACACAAGGTCTCATAAGCAACCATAAGGTTCATACATGTAAATATTAAAGTATAAGTACATAACAACCACGAATATCTTTAATTTCAAAAGTTTGTTCTATTACATTACATCCCAAAAGAAGCTTAAATCTTCACACGAGTCTTACAAAATAACAAAAGGAAATTTCTAGCCTTCCTAAGATAGCCAAAAGTCTTCGAAGTTTTCCGGCTTGTCGTCTCTCGCTATAAGTTCCGCTTCGTCACCTGGCATGATACACCGTGAGCTTTGAATGCCCAGTAAACACACACACACACCCCACCCCTTTTTCCCAGTCCAATATACAATCACAATTATAACATCAAGTAGTAAAGCATAATACTCAAATAAATAAATAAAAGGGTTGAGTTAGATTGTTAGCAACTAGAAATCCCCCAAAGAAATTTCATCGTTCCAACCACAAGAATCGGACGCGGATTATTCGGTATGCCCCCTCTTTTGCTGCTTTGTTGTAGACCTAACCTCGGATGCCTACCAACGGTTATATACCACGTAGCGCCAACCGCAGGGCCTCAAAAGAGACGGTAAAATAGGGCCTTGCCCAAATCCCTCCTCACACCAAACCACCTAGGGTCCGAATACAACCGCTCCGTTCAAGGGTTCCGAAAATCACTTGCGCAAGACTTTAACTTTCAAATAGGGAACGCATCCCAACAATCCAAATATCACATATTCTCATCTTTTCATTACTCAAGTGCTCGAAAACCCAATGCCCTCCCAATTAGGTTTTCCGTTGGATTAAATGTTTTAAAATCAAGGTTAGTCCAACTTATAAGACAATAATATCCATATAAGCATGCATTCTTAAGATGAGAAAGGTAAATAACATAACCACAACACATATAACATCATGCCAAGATATGATCATAAGCTAATAAGCAATCTCATGAACTCAAGGGTATAAAACATCCACACATAACAAAATTTCCAGACTTAGTATCGCATAAAGATTAAAATGAAAGGCCTATTTTAGATACTTCACTGGACTTGGCCTTCCTATGGTTCGTAGGGAATTTGATCTAGTTTCTAGAACATTTTTCAGAAACGGAATTTCTTTTCCAGATTTTAAGATATTTAGAAAATATTCCAGCGCTGTCCAGGTTCTGTCCAGATCCTTCAATCGTTACGAAAAATTGATTTTCTTGCAAACCGCTTAATGTTTTTCGATGAAACAAATTTTTGTTGAAAGCTAACACCTTAAGGAAGGTTTTGACATAAAATAGAGGTCCAGAATAATTTTGTACATTTTTCTGGAATTTCTGGAAGTGGGCTGCAAAAATAGATTCTAAGGTGCTTTGTCCAAAACAAGAAGATTTATGAAAAATGGGTTCCACCAAGGGAAAGTTTCATTTCTTTTGTGAAGAAAATATGCTAACTATCACATGTTTAACTCAAAAAATTTGTTTGAAGAAGTGCTCTTGAAAAGTTCAGAGATTGGTACAAAAGAAGATGGTTTTGTGCCAAAATAGAGAAAATACAAGAGAGATGAAATCAATACTCAACCCTTAGCATTTTTAACATAAGAACTCAATACATACTCGCAGCACCCACAACAAAACATAAGGCATATGTTTGTGTATGGGCAAATTCGCGAGAACCACATGTTTATGCTGGGATATCAAACAATGAAACATTAAAACACTAGGCAGAGTGTGAGAATGAAAAGATTGTAAAAGCTATTTTTCTAGCTTATTTGAGCAGAAATAAAAACCCAGATCTTCGTTTGGGAATTGAAAACCAATAAAACTTGTTCACCATAAAATATTGGTCGCCGCTTTTGGAAGAAAAGAAAAAACACATAATTGAATACAAAGTCTTAGTGCAAAGAATAGTCTGAGTTAATCCATTCATAAACCAGCGTTAGTTACTTGCCCTCTCTTCCTCAGTACCATACATCTGTTTACCCTTCCTTTCCCACCTCAAATACGCTTGTATCAGTACAAGATCTTCAGGAACTGAAATATTTGGAATTAACTTGTCTGTCAGTGGAACATGAAAGTTGCCACCATCATTTTTGAACCTACCAATAAAAGAATTAAGAAAAATTAAAGAAATTAAATAGGTAAATTTTTTGGGTATAGATTACACAGAAGCTACAAAGCTAGCAAATTATAGACCAATGGGTATTTACCATTTGTTCTGTTCTTCCTCAACTATAAGAAACTCTATAGCATGAATTGTCGGATCATCAATCTCTATTTTCAAGAAGGAATTGGAGCTAGACTACAAAGAAAGCGATGAATAATAAAAACTGAGCATCTAGTTGTAGACTTAGGTAAGTCGGAAAGAGGTCACCAATATTCAGTTTATGGAAAGACACTCCATGAATTGAATTTTTACCACCATTCAGTAACTTACTTTCACAAAAGGAGTTCTAAGAGCTCTGTTCTTATACATCCTAGTTCCCTCAGGAGAACGAGAAGGAAGTACCCACTTCCTCAAAAAATGACAAAAGTAATAGAAAACACTTTAATGCTATAGCTCAAAACTTGAATCAAAGCAAATCATTATATTTACAAGTGTACTTACTCTTTTTCATTTTGTATCCCATCCTAGTGAAGAACTAAGGTGCCACTAGTATTAGCGACCTGCATGTCTATTTCTGATAAAGAACCTGAAGTAGGAGCACCAACAACCACCTGTTCAATTGGATAGGATACAAGAATCTCATGTTGAAGTAGGAACACTAATCTGATTTCGTTTCCAATGCATAAATGTGCCTCACCACCTGATCTTTCTCATCGCAATCAGCCCGTTCGAGATCGTCATTCTGACGAGTTCGATGGTAGTCCTTTGTAGACAAAAGTTCTAAAACAGTTGAGGGGAGTGTAGGGTCTAGATTCGAACATATGGCTTGTGGAGGGATTGAATAAGATCAAAGGTAGGGTTAGGATTTTGAAACCGATGACGAGAGTGGAGAAGATGAAGTAGATGACCGATGAAGATCGGTGAAGAGAAAATGAGAAGAGAGAGAGGGCGGCGAGGGAGGAGGTGGTGGTCGCCGGTGGCGCCACCAGAGGCGACAACGTAGGAGACAGAAGAGATAAAGAGAGAGGAGAGTGAGAGAGAGTGAGAGGGAGTGTTAGGTTAGGTTTAGACTTTATATAACATATACTATATGGTTAGGGTTTAGACTCCATACAAATATATATAGTCACACTTATTTAAAATGTATGACCTCATTCATTAAATTAAATGTGATTAAAAAATTATTTTAATTTTTTTAGTCACACTTGATAAAAGTGTGATATTTTTAATTCTTCCTATGTGATCTTTAATCACATGTTAATTACAAGGTGTGATTAAAAAATATATATATATATATATATCACACTTAATTGAAAAGTGACATAAGAAATAAATATTATCACACTTAATCAAATCAAGAGTGATTAAAATATCAATCTAATTATTTATTTATTTATTTATCGCACTTTCAATAAAAGTGAGATATTTTCATTTGTCAAAGTGTGACCTTTAACTGTTTTTATAGTAGTGTTGCTTTATTACAGACATTTGGAATGGCGCATTAATGAGCCTTTGGTTTCTTTGTAGGCCATCCTTGGGTTCAGGTTGATGGAGTGGCACCCGATAAGCCTCTTGACCCTGCAGTCTTCAGCCACTTGACACACTTTTCTGCCATGAACAAGCTTAAGAAAATAGCTCTTCGCGTAAGTGTTAACTATGGTATCAGAAGTCACTGCTACATAGGGCCTCTGTATCTGGACCTGTATGGATTCTATTTTATATGATGATGTACATTTAATTTCAAAATTTAGCACACAGTACGCTTTTAGATGTAAGCTTTTAGCACATCTGTGACCTATTGGATAATTGCAATGACACGACAGACCTAATCTCCAAGGTTAAAATGACTTGGAAAATAGCATTGCTGTTAGATGTAAGCTAGAACAAGGCTAAAGATTCCATAAATCTCAAAAAGATGTTTCTTCATTCCTACATTACATTTGTGAATGCGATGTGTTTCTGATACTTCTCATCACAATTTGTTATAGCTTTTAGAGAAATAGTGTGATACTAATATGGGAATGCTAATGTGCTCTATCATAGGTAATGATAGCCTTATCCCCAAATCTAGTGGATAAAATATGTCTTATGCAGAGGAGTATCATGTACTCAAACGTGCTTACCTATTCTTTTTCCATTTGTATTTCTTTTTTATGTGTGTTCTTGGTCATTATCTTTGTCCCCTATTATTTGAGGACCCAGAAACAAGCATGGTCATCTCTCTCTTTGGTGGCTGTTGATGGTGTTGGTCCTAGAATTGACATTGAACATGGAAAGATAAGAGTCCTTTTATTATGATTTTATGGGTTATATAGTATTAGTCTGAATGCATTTTTGGCCTCTGAATAGGATGGGCTAATTGCCCCTAGGATGGATTATTATTACTATTGTTATAAACTTTTTTTTAAAAGTTTTATTTAGCTAGTTCCTAATTGCTGGAGCAAGGTCTATTTGAAGTGCGTTTACATTGATAAATGTATGTCTCATTCACATCCTAAAATTGTAGTCTTTTTTCTACATGTCTTTAGATATAATGTCTTATTATTCATTCCATAATACTTCTTTAGATTGATGCTCTACATATTCATACAACAAATTTTTTTTTCCAACCACTTCATGTGGAAAACATTTTCTCCAATTTTGAGAACTCTAGCCCACTTTCTCTGATGTTTTTTGTTTTCTAATTTTCTGTTTACTTACAGTATTTTTCTTTTCTTATCTCTTTCCAGCAATTTGAGGTGGAATAAGCTGCGAGATGTCATTCCTCCTTAAATTGCATTCCCTAGGTAACTATAGGCGTAGTTAGGAGATACCTGCACAAGTCATTGTCTGCCACTATGGAGTTCATAATTGAGAGTGAGAAAGGTACATGCATATTCTATTTCTTGATTTCTCTTGTACAAAATAATCAATGTACTTAATTAGCTTCCATTTTGCTGTGGTGTTTTCTTCAGCTAGTCTCCTTGATTAACCAGTGTCTCCTGAACTGGTCATATTTTACATTACTCAGGACACGCAAAGAGATTCATTACTTCCTGAACTAAGATCAGGTTGTTTCTTGTTCTCATTTCCCCTCTCTTTCTAGTTTTTATGAATTACAAAGGGCTAAAGTAACATTTTTCCAGCTTCCATGTCCTTACGAACCTTGTAGTTATAGTTTTTTTAAACACTGATAAGCATGAAGGTTGATGAAAGTCGAAAGGCCTGCTGATACATTTTTAGCAAAACGGTGATCATTATTGTTTTGCATTTGGTAGGGACCTCTTAAAGTTAGCTCATTGCTACACTAAGATTGTCATATTGACAATAGTTGTTGCTAACTAGGTGGTTTCCAAGTAATTGGTAAAATTGGCACGCAGTGCTCAATGCCTGATCCTCTTAAGGGCGAGCTAACAGTTGAAGTGTCTATAGTTCCTATTCATTCCATTGATATCAACTTGCTTCGTGTAGAGTCAATTATGGTCGGAGAAAGGATCATAACTGAAACCTCTTTAATTCAGACTGCGCAGGCATGCAACATTTCATATTTTAGAGTCAATTCTAGTCAATTCATTCTTTTGGACTAAATATTAGACTAATTAATTTACGATTTGTAGTTATACTTTTTGGATGTTTAAAGTTGTATTTTAGAGATTAGTGAACCTTATGATTTGGATTCTTTTCTTGGTTTGTATATTTGAGGTTGTTATCAGCTTAATATGATAGAAGTTGAGGATGGTAGTTAGTATGCAGGTTGTTTGGTGTATGGATATTAGCTTTTTTTACTTAATTCATAGTTGTTGCTTCAGCTTGGTTTGTACACAGGTTGCATTTTATAAGATAATGTCGCATACTGTTAGGCAGTGTTATATTCTTGTATATATATATATATATTACATTTTAAAATAATCTTCTACGTCATATAAAATTATGTCATAAAAAGTGTAATAATTTATGACATACAAGAAAATACCATAAAAGATTATATACTGCATATAAAGTATGTCATAAATATATTAAAAATGACCTTCTGCGACATACAAAATTATGTCATGAAAAGTGTGATGATTTATGACATGGAAGAAAATGCCGTAAAATAATATATGCGACATATAAAGTATGCCATAAATATATTCAAAATAACCTTCTACGGCATGCAAAATTATGCCATGGAAAGTATGATGAGTTATGGCATGACAAAAATATCGTAAAAAATTATATACGACATACAAAGTATGTCATTAATGTTTAATTTATTACTTTTTTATAACTTTACCTACATGTCGTAAATGATACTCAACTTTCCATGGCATGTCATATAACGGCATTTGTGTGCATGCCGTGAAAGAGTTTTTACAGCATTCATTGCAAGCCGTATAAATTCAATTTTGTTGTAGTGATGGCGTAATTGATACTATTAGCACACATTGTATATGATGTCACCAGGCTTAGATCGGCCTTCTCACACTGGTGATCACCCTGGCACTTGTAGAGCGAGCGGGATGAGACATTAATTATCTTGACGCTTAGAGAGAAAGCAAGGTAAATGTTTTATAACTTGAGAAGTGAACAAAATTGATTTATTATTATAAAATGTCGTTATAGCATTGGCTAATATGGGACTTTAAAAAAAGTCAGACATGAAGTTATCCACAGCTTTATGAAGCCTGAATATAGCCGAATTTGAGGTCTTAGATAAGCACTCGATGAACGAATATGCAAAGAAACTCAGGTTAGGTGCTTGTATAGCGACTAGACTAAGATTCGTATGGCGTTAGAGAGTGACAGACCCAATTTAGTAGAAACTCCGCCGTAGCATACATATCATATTATATGTGCTACCATCGACCACTTAAGGGAGTGGCTAGATGGATCCCTACTCTAGCACTATGTAAGCCCTGTTAGGACAATAATAGGCATACTCTATATCCTTGAACTTGAAACTATGTCATATAGTGATGACTTGATATCGTTACTTTAGCATGTCATTCAAGGGTCATGATGAACACGATCTAAAGGACCATGTCTAGGAAAGCGGTCAAGTTTGAGTGAATTGACATAAGTGGCTAGGGAAGATTGTTGAGAATCATATTCTTGTATTGTAGCTCATTGCCCAGGCGATTGTGTCGGATTTTAGATCACGATATAATCATGAGTACAGATACAATGTTGATGTCAAGCATGTTTATGAGCTATGACTCGTGAGGGGTTTTTAAAATATTTGAGCTGGTGTGATCCAATGAATCTAGGGTGTAGATGAGATATTTCGAGTGATGCGTTATGTTAGTTTATGGTGACTTAATATAACACTCCTACCTTATACCTTCTCGTCAGGTCGCACAATCTGTTTTTCTGTATGAGGGGTGGATTGAATGATACATTGAGAAATGATGATTAAGCATATAACACATGATGTGGATGTGTGGATGAGTGGGAGATGTTTGGAAACTATGCGGTACACATGGTGTGGCCTAACATTGAAGGCCACATGGTACACATAGTCCATCCACATATTGCCTAACCATAAGGGACACATGGTACACATGGTGTGGCCTAACCATGATATACATGGTTCGCCATATATGCCGATATAAGGGCTCAGGCTTAACATTGTGTAGATATACTAAAAAACAATAAGTTCTCTTTTTATTCATCTATCTTGAGACTACTATCTTGAAAGCCTAGGAATTTGGAGTGTGGATAAATACTGAGAAACTCTAGTAACTTCTCAATTGACGGGGGGTTTTCCAGACAAGATTCGTAATTCAAGCATCCGATCCAAATCATTTCAAAACTATTTCTTTTATTATATGGGTAATCATATTACCTGATGCGGAAATGATTTGGATCGAATGCTTGAAGCCATGCATAATATGCAAAACCATCTCAATATTTATCAACTCATTCCAATCAAATAAAAGAAATAAAATTCCAAAAATTCATTATATTGCATGTGGCACACAAAATAGTGCAACACAATGATAATCAAACTGATGCCTAGAACACACACATATGGTCTTACATATGCATCTAGTCTCATCCTTTGGGACACTCCACATCCACCATATTCTAGGAGGGTTACTAGTCTTCAATAATTTCACACGTTCCCAAGTTTTAAACGGTGAATAGTCAGTCATTTTCTTATCTCATTACTTAATTTATCTTGTAGTTAATTTCTAATGGTCAATCTCTTATCTTCTGGAGTTCAAAAAAAAAAAAAAATCTTATTTTTTAGCACTTGGTGAAATTATGAAATTATCCACTTGGATCAAATTTGCTATTGTCCCTTAGGAGTGTCAAATCTGCTATTGTCCCTTAGGCTAAAATTACCATTTTACCCCAATACACCAAAAATCATATTTTATTACACTAAACATGCTTTTAAGTATTTCTATCCCTCCCTATCCCTATATATGGAGCCAATGCTCAGGGGACGAAAATTTCGGCCCTGTTACAATTACCAAATTAGCCTTCTTTACATTTATTTGCATGCCTCAGTGTGTTATGGCCATTGGGAGTATAATCGTAAATTTATCTAGACATTCCTACAACGAGCCACGTGGATTTGATTATCTTTTTCGGGTAAGGGACAACAAATTGCTCAATTTGTAGATTATCTTCTTATTCTTATATATATACAAAATATATTTTTGTAAGTAAAATTTTGTAGTACACACTTCATCATAGGGCGTGCCATATGACGTAATTTATAATTTTTAATTATGACTCGTTATAATATTAATTATAATTTAATTATAACTTGTGATTGTTATTTTGATTATGAGTGGAGATGTCCTTAGTTATATCTCAAATGCTACTTTGTTATGACTCTTGATTATAATTTAGTTATAATTTATTATAATATTAGTTATGGTTTATTGTAATTGTTATTTTAGTTATGATTCAAGATAATATTTGATTATGATCTTTTTTTTTTTTTTGATCGGCAAAGAAAATCTTTATTGATGAAAGATGCAAAAAAGATACAGAACATCAATAAAGAGGAGCTTGGAGCTAATTGAAGGTCCAAGCTCCAGTTGGTGAGAAACCAACAAACAAAATAAGAACAAGAAAAGCATAACAGATCAGACTACACCCTGGTTCCATATAACTATAACTCAACACCAAAACTGAACAAAACCAATCCAAACCAGCACTAAAGTTGAGTGCAGAACTGAACAGAAGCAGCCAAATAAAGCATCCAGAACAATGAATCAGCCAATGAAGCAGTCAAAACTGAAATTGAGCTCAACCAGAAATAGACCATCAAAGATGCACCCAAACAGCAGAGGAATTGTTCTACAAATCTGTATGTAACAGTTGGTTACTGTAGCTGAAATCAACATCCAAGGTGCCTTTAGACTAATTGGAGCTCAAAGCAACAGACTTCCACCCAACCTACACTAGAGCTAAGAACTAAACTGCAAAACAAATAACAAACACAGTAACTGCAGAGCAGATGCCTATCTTCAGCACTAGCAGCAGAGCAATTCAGTTGCAGACCAGCAAAAACCATTACACTTCCACTGATGGCAATCCAAGGTATAGCAGAACCATAGGCATAGCAGAACCAGAGCCAACCACAAGCAGACCCATAACATAACAGAAAAACCAGCAAAACCAGAACAAGCTAAAGCAGCAATAGCAGCCCAATTATTGATTTGGAAACCCATCTCTGATCTGTCTCCAATTGAAGATTAAGTCAGCAACTGAGTAGGAAAGGTCCTTAATAGACGCTTTTAGCCAGAGAGCTGATCTGATTTTGATAGAATCATTTGTTTCAAAAAAGTTGGGTAAAGCCTCTGCAAAAATACATTCGTTCCTATGTTTCCAAAGCGACCAAAGGACAATGTGTGGGATAGCTCTCCAAATTAACCTATCAAAATGCTTAAATTTGACACTCATCCATCATTGGAGAAGGCCATCTACTGAATCCTAAATGCACCAAGAGAGCCCCCAATCATGACTTATAGAAGACCAAATCTGCTAAGAAAAAGGGCAATGGAGCAAGAGATGGGTAGCAGATTCAGATTCAAAGCTACAGAAGGTGCAACTGATGGAGATAAAAGGTTCTAAAATACCAATCCTGCACATAAATTCTGCTGACTTGATTTTATTCTTCCAGGCCAACCAACAGAAAAAAGAAGCCTTAGGTGGGACATCCCTATTCCAAATATGTTTACAGATTGGAATATGTGGACCAAGGATGGAATTACTGAAAAAGTAGAGGGAAGAAACAAAGAACTCACCAGAGCTTGCAGAAGCATTTGCCCAAATATAATTATGATCTATAATAATCTTTTTAATTATGATTAAAAATAATTTAATTATGTCCTTATGTATCATCACTTATACCAAGGGTGTATAGTCGCTTTTATAATATCTTTTGTTACCATTTGTCAATTTTGATTTTAAAATATATTAATATAATAATACGATTATTTAAATTGTCACCCACGTAGTAGTTAGATAGTAACTATTCCATCATTAATTAATATACGTGTGCTATATCAAAAGACTAGGGATGACCCGTGCCTGAAGGCACTGTCAACAATTTTTTTGGTATCACGTGTTACAAAACTCAATGGTAATATCACTCCGACTTAAAACTTCACAAATACGAAACTGAAATTGCTTCTACACATTGAATTAGCGAAAGCATTTATAATTTTCTTTATTAAGACTAAGAGTCTTGTTATAAGGAAGGAGAATTTTTGAAGGCTATAAAACCAAACAAAATTAAAATTTTAAACAATTAAAGCTTACCTCGTGTGAAGTATCCATTTTTGGGTGATCATGGTCCTTTGA